TAGACAACCCATGGATGACAGGAACTATTTGCCAACTATACACCTGCCAAAGGGCTGATAACCAGGACCTACAAAGAAGTAAAGCAAATGAGCAAGAAGAAATCCAATAACCCCATTTAAAAGTGGGCAAACAACATAAACCAACTCTTTTCAAGTAAAAATATACTAATGGCCAATAAACACATGAAAAACTTCTCAATCTCTCTAAGTATCAGGAAAATGCAAATCAAAACCACAGTGAGATTCACCTAACTCCAGTGAGAATGGCTTTTATCAAAAAGTCCCAAAACAAGAGATTCTGGTATGGATGCAGACAGAAAGGAACTCTTACCCACTGTCGGTGGGACTGCAAACTAGTACAACTTCTCTAGAAAGTACTATGGAGAAATCTCATAGAACTAATAGTAGACCCAACATTTGATCCTGCCATCCCATTGCAAGGTGTTTACCGAAGGGGGAAAAATATTTTGTGAAAAAAAGACACTGCACTTAAATGTTTATAGCATTACAATTAACAATCACGACAATGTAGAAACAGCCAAGTGCCTATCAATACATGAGTGGATTTTTTAAAATGTGGTATACGAATACCATGGTGCACTACTTAGCCATAATAGTAAGTAATGAACTATAACCACTTGTATTAACTTGGATGGAACTGGAGACCATTCTTCTAAGTGAAGTATCTCAAGAATGGAAAAATAAACACCACATGTACTCAGTACTAAACTGGAACTAACTGACCAGCACTTAGATGTACCTAGGGAAACAAAACTCAATGGAAATCAAGCAGGTGGAATGGGGGAGCAGGGGACAGGTAAATTCACACCTAACAGGTACTATGCCCATTTTCTGGGTGAAGGGCACACTTACAACTTTGATTCAAACTGTACAGAAGCAAATTATGAAACCAAAATGTATGTACCTCATAATAATCTGAAAAGAAGTAAAAATTAAAACAGGATGAATAATGTCTAAAACTGGAACAGATAAATGTAGTATTATAGGTACGCTATTCAGAAAAATGGAAAGAATTAAAATAATGAGTTAGAAGATGTGAAATGTTTTGTCTCAAGGGAAAGAAAATAGGAAAGGTTAGGGGATTGCTAATTTTTGTGAAAAACTTTATATATTAATAATTCTTTATATATTATAGCTCTTTATATATTAATAGCCCTTTATACACATTTGTCAATACACAAAATGTCCCCTTGAGGTAGAAATCACAAATTGTCATTGGTTTGATTTTTTTTCTGCATTTAATTCATTATGTTAACTTTATTCTGTAGACCTGTTTGCCTATTATTCTCAGATTGAAAATGAAACTAGTGATCATGGAGAAATACATTTTATTCATTCAAAACAACAGAATACAGTACAAGATAAACATTTGCATGCCGTACAAAACCCGAAAATTACACCCTAAAACTGGAAAAAGTACTCTAAATAGAATGAATATATAACTTATTCAAACAGTACACTAGGCAATAAACCAAGATTATCTCAGACATGTATCACACATACTTCTCAATAAGACCTTATCTTACAATATAATTAGTGCTTCAAATCCTGAAAAAAATATAAGATATATAATATGTAAACTGACCTTAAAGATTTATAAAATTTCCTTTAAAAACATTGCTAGTTAATTCTAGAAGCCACAATTCTGCCTACTGAATCATAGCAAAGGAAAAATTAAAAAAAAAAAAAAACCAACTTATTTTTAGTATTCAGATAAATGTACAAGAGCTCACAGACTTGGCCAGAATAATTCCAATGAACAGACCAGGGTGAACATATACTAACTTGTGCAAAAGCCTGAATGTGAAAGTCAACTCTTCCTAGACGTTACATTTTAATAGTAGCCAAACAATGATGATAAAACAATGTTACATGTTTACATGGTTTCATGTTTTTCCAAGATATTTTCTCATTATGATTGTTTCGAAGCTTAACTTGGTATTCCCAACTTAGTATCTCCTTTTATATTTCATAAGTATCTTTATTCCATAATATCTTCAATCTTGGGGCAATTTCACACAAGCAGCACAAAATACAGCCTGTTAAGTCATAGAGAAACATTTTGGTTGTAGTGATCTCTAATTCTAATATGGACTCTCCCAATTTGGAACATGTCTACAATACTGCTTAATTTTTATTTAATACAGTTCTGTATAAGCCAACATTATTTGGGTGTTCAAAATAAAAGCAAATCTACTAATTTTTATTTAATTTATCTTTTAAATTGGTGGTTTATTTTAGAAATAAACTGAATTACATAAATCATATAAATTTGAATTTTCATTAACTAAAAATTATATCCTCACCCACCCGTCTACCATGTATAAGCATAATTACAAGATAATGAAATTTCTATTCTATTTTCTCAACATACATGAGGTCCTTTAAACAAAATCTGAAGGTCTCTCTGATGATAAGTCATTATCGACTAACAAGAAGTGTTTTTCCCTGTCAAACTCTACACTACAATGATGTTTCACAAACTCATCTACCTTATCACAAAGTAACATTCTTTAATCGGTTGCTTTAATGTAAATACTAAAAGAATGGCATCCAAAGGAAGCATAGATTCTAATTTAATGTTGTATGTTAATATAAATTACATATGCAAAAAAAAAATCTTAAGAAGCATCTTGCTTCCAAAGCAGCACCTTGCAGAGAGAGAGATTGATTTAAAACATAATTTATCACAATTCTGAATTCCGATATAGTATTCCATGGGTCTGCCACTTGGATCTGTTTCCTTAATAACAACCAGAATATAGGCATAAAAGATTAGGGAGGAAAAATATCTATAGTAAGTAAGTGGAGTTCCAAACCTCTAGTGAATTAGGTATAATGGTAAAGAGACTACAATGAAAGTGCTTTGTTAAATAAAGAAGTTCAGAGAGAGCAAATAAATGAGTAGAATTCTATCCGCATTGAACAGCTGAGCAGGTAACAGGAGCAGCAGGGAAGGTCAGAGAAATTTCCGCAGGACTTAGGATGGTTCCAAAACCTGAGAAAAGAATCCTGAGTGCTATAAAGGAAGAATATATAGAAAAGAAAAGGGACAGAGTGAATAGTTCTTATAAATATTTGCAGAGATTAAAAGCAACCAAAACATTCATAGAAAAAGAGAGACATGGCAAACATCCCAGAGGGTTTGCAAACTGGAGTGGTTTGCTACGGCAGCCCTCCTGAAGGACAGGCCAGGACTGGACGATGGCTTCTGGTTGCTCCATTCACATCCCCAGTATTTTCTTTCTTAAAATGGGATTATATTTCCCCACAATGTAATTGTAAAAATGTTTCCATCTCACAGACAATAATCACTGAGAATTTCATTATCAGAATCTTCCAGAAAGTAACATTTGATCGACTTTAACCTTTAAGAAAAAGAAATGGTTTTCCTTTTAAATAATGCTAAGCTTTCTTCACCATGTAAATGAATAGATTGAGCCATAGGATCTTGGATAGATCCAACAGTATATCATTTACTTATTAAAAGCCTTTCAACTTCATTACACTAATGTTTTTGTGTACTAATGTTGTGTTTTGTGTTCCATAATTTATGGAACCTGATATAAAGATCATTCAACAAACATAACAAAAATAAGAGTAACCTCCTCTTGTATATATGTAACTGGGAAATGGTCATTTTTATATTTTCATTTCTGAAAGAGGTTTCTAAAAAAACTCTCACAATTTTGTAGTTCACAAACATGTGGGCACTCACAACTTCTATAATTTACACAATAATTGCACCATTTGGCATGCATGTTATTTAAGGATAAAAATCATAAAATATCCACTGATTAGTTTAAAACTAAATTATAACTTAGAGTCTAGCTAGAAAACATAAGAATTTGGATTGGTTTTACTTAAGATGAGCATGAAATCTACAACTTTGACATCTAAATATAGCCTTGGTAATGAACTTTTTAATTATGGTGTTCTTTTAGAGATGCTTAGAGTTAAGTAATGACTCTTTTAGACATGACTGGTCCCTATTTTAATAACAACTGCTGTGGTTTCAAGTTGTCCATGACAAATACTTTTCATGACCTTTTTGAGAGAACTTATATATTTAATTCTCAAAAGTGGAGAAAATCAATGTCAAAAACATGAAGTTATTTATTATTGGACCATGTATCATAGTTGCTTGTGATGCTAGGCCTGGAATGGTGGCAAGAATTCTATACAGAGTCAGAGGATATATTTGAGATTAGTAAGGAAAGAGATTTCCCCTTCACTTTTATCTTTTTCTCAACTATTCATTTCATGTATTACTAAGCACTCTTCTGAACTATGATGAGATGCCAGATTTTAGAAGAGGTGTCAGAGATCTTGTACTTGTAGAACCCATGTGTGTTCACTTTTTAGTTGGTTAACAAGCCATGTCTTGGAACATCATGGTGTTTAACATTTGGAGCAATCTCCCCAGCTCCGAGCTCCCCTTCCCTCTTCTGACGACACCTCTCTGTGCTTCCACCCCACCCCCAGGTCTATAGGAGAACCCTTAATTGACTTAAGCCATTTTAGCCTTTTTAGCCATAGTGCCTGATTTATCACAGAAAAATAACCTAAATTGTTTGCTTCAATCAATCTCTGTACCAGACAGAAATGAGGATGCACAAATTGCCAAGAGTTATTGGCAGCCATCTTGACAACGTGAGGGGAAATCTCCCATGAGAGTCGGGCCAACACCAGGGATGTGGCTCCAGCCCCGTGGAGGGGGATCCAGAAACTGTTTATTCTCATACTTAATTCTAGACACAACATTAAAGCCCTGGTAAATAGCTTAATCTCCCCTGGATTGTTCCATTACATGATTTAGTTAAGTTTCCTTTTATGTGTGTGCTAATGAGGGTCATGTTTTCCAAAACATTTCTGTTAAGAATGTTCTCTAGGTAATTTCAGATTTTTCCTACCAAATGAAATAAATTCACTCAACCCATATCAAAGGTAGACACCAGGTAGCGGGAAGAAACCGCATAAAATTCCAGGTACATAATAGTCATTGTTAATCTGCTCACATGAAGGAAAAGCTTAGACTCTAGTCTTTGGCCTGCGAGAGAAGGTTGGGTAGTTCACGTAAACGTCCTCTCTTGTGTCATCTGTGGGTGGACTGGCAGAGACAGGACTTCTACAGTTGTTGGGTGCCTAGAAAAAAAAACAGCAGAGGATTTCAATAATTCCCTGCATTTCAGCAGCCAACAAAGACATTTCAAAACATACATCTCACCCCAATTCAACCATGATACAGGTCAAATTTCCATCATAATTAATTTCATAAAATATTCTCTTCATCGTCTTGAACTCTGGTTAGAAATCACATTCTTGGTTTGCAGGACTCTGAGTGAGATGCAAGAGAAACCTAAATTATCACTTGCTATATCGTGTCATGAGTTACCTGTTTCATTATAGAACCCCCTCTCGTAATATTAGTCTATTTTGATAAGAATGATCATTTTCATTTTTATATGGAAATTCCAGTAGCATTTCCCTACAGTGAGTAGCCATTGATGTCTGTTGAATGAACGCCTTAATAAATAAATATTTTTTAAAAGTACATAGTGTTCTAGCTTTAAAATAACAAGGGGCTGAATCTAATAAAAGAAGTTAACAAAACATTCACTTTCAAGATGATTGTAATTCAAGTGCCATAATGATATAGGCTATCTTTAAAAAGAAACAGAATATAGTTCTAACTTCCTTATCTGACAGTCCAACCAATTACCATTTTAAACCATCCTTCACAACCTCATTAATTCACAAAAGCCTAAAAAGGTTGGATAGCTAGGGTAGACAGTTGCCAAGTTCCCTTCTGCTCCAAAATTCACAGCAATTAAATTGGCACTGAATTGACTTGAGTAGACACAGGGCTATATGAGGATGGGACTCCCCAAACTGTACGTGACAGAGCCCCACGTTACTGCTTGCTGAAGCAACTGATGGCACAGTGTGATCCTTCTTCATTCTGTAGTTGGTTCTGAGAAATAAGCAATGGTTTAGCCACCCCCCCCAAAAATTGTTTGTGTAAAAGTAGTCAATTAAAAAAAAAAAAACAAGGTAAACTGGTAGATTATTAGGAAGTCTGAAGCAAATATATTGGATTATCCAAAACTTGTTAGTACTTGACTTTGGGGGCCATGCAGAATTCAATTGCAAATGATTAAATTGAAGACAGGTTGATGTGCCTTTGAATGGATTCGAGGACAAGTCTGTCTTTGTTTGGCCAGTATAACAGACTACTGGGGACTGAGAGACTTAAATAACAATCGTTCAGTCCTTGCAGTCCTGGAGGCTGGGAGGCGCTGTCTGGTACACAGGAGGCTGACTTGCGGCTGTGTCCTCACACAGCAGAGAGGACAGACTCTGTCTCTTCTTACTAATCCCATTTCCTGAGGGCTCCCCCTGCAGGACTTCACCTCCCAAAGTTCCTACCTCCTTAGACCATCACAAGAGGGGGTAGGATTTCAACACAGGAATTTTGAGAAGACATACACATTCAATCAATAGTAATGTTTTGTTGTAAAATTTGATAAACAAAATATGTGTTGAAGATAGAGGTTTGCCCTAAAACGGAGATACTGATCATGAATGTAAGCGTCCCTCTCACGCGCAGACCCTAAAGGGGGTTTCTCCTCTTTCTACTTAAACAAGTAGAGGACAGAGGAACGTAGAATGAGGAGGAAAATTTTATAGTTCCTCAAACTTCTGCAGCTCATAAGATGTTCTTTAGCTTTGTAATCTAAACTGAATATCCATTCACTAATAAATTGACTTTAAATGTAGTGGTAATAATGAATATCACAGGTTACATCCTTCTATATGCTTGCTGTATTTAGGGGTCTTTCATGTAGCCTGACTTAATTTAACCCTCAAAATAATCTAATGACATAAAAATATTATTATTCCCTCTGTGGGTTAGTTTTCCTGCAAAATTCACGTCCTTCCCAGCACTTCATAATGTGACCTTCTTTGGAAATAGGAGCCTTGTAGCAGAAATGAGTTATACGGAGGTTGTACTGGATAAGTTGGGCCTTTAGTCCAGTGTGATTGGTGACCTTGTTAGAAAAGGAACACAGACACTGCACACAGGGAGGACGTCTTGTGTAGGCAGAGGCTGTAGGGATGCGTCTGCAGCCAATGGCCATCAGCAGCCAGCAGACACCAGGAGGGACACATGGAATGGGTTCTCATCCCAAGAAGGAACCAATCCTTCTGACAACTTTTTGTAGACTCCAGAATTGTGAAAGAATAAATTTCTGCTGTTTTAGGCCATTCGGTTTGTGGTAATTTGTCATGGCAGTCCTAGGAAATGAATAAAGATTTGGGGAAGGCATCGCGTTGAGTGCTCTCACATCAGAGTAACTGGCCTTTCATTTGTAGCAACATAAAACTCTTAGTTCCCAGGGTATTAAAAATAGGAGAATAGTTCAGAACACAACTTACCCCAAATTAGCTGATGCTTAAATTATAGGCAACTGCATGACCATATTATTGAAAGGAACATAAAAAATAAGATTGTCAACTGCAAAACAGACTGCTTTTACAAGTCATTTTTAAGTCATAGAAGGAAAAAAAAATGACAGTTCCAGGCAAACTCACCTTTTTCTGTGTATCCCAGGGCTCTGTAAATAGGTCTCTTTTGTGTCTCTTCCTCCTTCTGGAAGGCATAGTCAGGAGAGGATAGGAAGATGTGATACTCCAGCACTAGTTACTATTTCAAGCCCTCTATACCTCGCCGAATCCCCAGCCCCCCACGCATGTACTACACGTGTTGAAGTAGCCATCTGCCACTGCTCTGTGCACACTTACCAGGATTCTGCTGACCTAACTCTTCCCATTCCCACCTTCTCCAGTGTTTGCAGATAGTGAGGGCAAGTACGTGAACACCCAGGCAGGGTGCGTTAGTAATTCACCTCCGTGATTCAACTAAACAAAGTTTATAGCAGGTTATTATATACATGGCTTACAGCCCAGCCTTCCCAAGTAACCTTGGACTTAGACATTTTCATTAATTAAAACTTTTAAATGTCAACAATGTAACTTCTTGGATGACAATGATGATGTAATTAAGCTGTATAAAATCTTCCAAGTATTATTCCTATTCACCTGTATGGATTATTTCATTCAGATTTCATCAAACTCTATATTTAACAGATTAGGAAACTGAGGTTTAAAGAGAAAGAATAACTTGCCCAGAATCAGGCCGTCGGCAAGTGGCAGCCTCAGGGTTTAACCCCACAGACCTCCCTTTTGACTACTGGGCCCTATGACTTCTGGAGTCACTTCACTGTGTCTAAACGAACCAAGTGGAACCATGTTGGTCAATAAACTCCCCACAGGTCCAATGAAATCCATAAACTCTTCCCTTCAGGAGGACGCTTAAAAGAGGACATACAAGAGAAAAAGAAAAGCAGCCACTGTAATGGAATGAAATAGATAAAATATCTTATACCAATTATATGAAACTAGTTATTATGAGAAGATGGTGACTAACTTTTCATTTATCTCCCTAAAGAAAACATTCTTGGCTGGATGTGGTGGCTCACGCCTATAATCCTTGCACTCTAGGAGGTCCAGGCAGGTGATTGCTTGAGCTCAGGAGTTCAAGACCAGCCTGAGCAGGAGTGAGACCCTATCTCTATTAAAAATAGAAAAATTAGACCTGGTGGCACACACTTGAAGTGCCAGCTATTCCTGGGGCTGAGACAGGAGAACCCTTGAGACCAGGAGGTTGAGGTTGCTGTGAGCTAGGCTGAGGTCACGCGTACTCTAGCCTGGGGCAACAGAGTAAGACTTTGTCTCAATAAAAGGAAGAAAAGATTCTTACTGAACAACAGAGGTGATGGGTTAGATGCAAAAATGTCAAGGTCTTTTGCTAAGATGAGGTGGAGAAGAGTTCCTCCTCTGCTCAGGGCAGGGCATGCAGGTGATGGGTACTGACTCTGCTCAGGGCAGGCCACGCAGGTGATGGGTACTGACTCTGCTCAGGGTAGGGCACGCAGGTGATGGGTACTGACTCTGCTCAGGGCAGGGCACGCAGGTGATGGGTACTGACTCTGCTCAGGGCGGGGCACGCAGGTGATGGGTACTGA